GTAACCACGGCCTTTTTAACTCTGCAAACAAAAATGAAGGTCATCTAGAAAAACAACAGCTTGCTTGTAACTTAGCGATGTGACTAACCACTCCTTGCTTTAAAACAAAACTACAGATTGTGTGTAACCTGCGTCACAAGCCACAGCGAGTACAGAAGACGTACGGAGGGATATGAATGTCAAAACTTTATGTCTGTGGGTGGAGTTATGCAAAAATCACCTTTTTTTATATATATAAATATATAAAAATAATTTCCAGATCACGTTGTTGTTTACAAAATGTGAGATCGATCATAAAATCACCATTTTTTTGCCAAATAGTTTTGTTTTTTTCAGCCTATCATCTGCTCTGTCCTTCGTCGTTTTCCACTTGGAGGTTGTTGTATTTTTTTTTATCATGGTTGCTGCTGCGCTCTGAAGACTGGATCAGTTCAGATTTTTAAACATATCAGTTTTATTCTTTTTGTTTTTACGAGTTCATCCAAAAAGGCGGGAATTTGTTTCAAAATGTGAATTTATTCTTCGACATCCACATTGCAGTCAAAGCAGCTTTTTAGAAGCACACAGATAAGGGACATCTTTATTTTCACATCTCTCAACACAATCTGTTTTTAATTCTTCTAGCTGCAGTCTAATTTAAGAGAAGACTTTGATTATCCCTCAACAAGATCCGTTATATTTAAAAAGTTGGGCAAAAACAGCCGAACTGGAATAAAAATGCATTTTTAAATGCCACTTTATGATTTTATGTTTGACTTCTGTGGTGAAATGTTGCCCAGAAGAGACTGTGTGGAGGATTTTAAAGGGACAATAAATGCAGCTAGTGTTTTCTATACAGCCAAAGCTTTTATTTCAGCTCAAACGTCACCAAAAACATGGAAAGTTGCAGCATTTTGACACATTTCTGTAACGAAGGCGCCATATTTATTCCTCTGATTTCAGTTTTTAATCTCCTCAAACTTAAAGGACAAAATGTTGGAATTCACGGCTCAGATAAAGTTTTTCAACTTGTTAAGATTCTATTTAGTCCTCTTTATTGTAAAATTTGACTGGCTTATATGCAGATGACAAATAAATATTTGGGGTCAAATAAAGAGCTTAGCCAAAAACCTCTGTAGGGAATGTGTGTATAGATATATATATACATATATATATATATATATATATAATATATATATATATATATATATATATATATATATATATATATATATATATATATATATATAGTCTCTACACCCCATATACACACATTTAGGAAGTCCAAATATCTTGGGATCCCTCAGAATTAGCTTAAGAGTTTTCTCATCCTGCCCACGACGCCAATATTGAAAAGCAAAAGTAGTAAGGAATATCTAAGAGAGTCATGCCTTTCTGATATTGCTGACCAAAAATACTAAAAGACTAAATTGTGTTTTTAAATAGAAAGGTCATAAAAAAGCTTCATGATGGTTTTTGTGTACAATTTCATCCAAAATCTGCATTGGATTTACAGAATTAAACTAATGTTGCTATCAGTTACTGTCAACTAAGTGCTTTCCTCCCACATTTTATATTTACTATAGAATTGTTTCATTTAAAATTTTAACAAATTCACCTAGTAGAAATTTGTTTATGAAAATATCTCCTTTGTTTGCTTTTCAAAGGGTCTTGAAAAAACTGTTAAAACATCAGTTGCTTTTACCATTTTTGATTTGTAGTCTGGGGCCAAACAAAATCATGTTGTTGTCCAGTGGTGTCCAAACTTTAAACCTGTGGCCGAAACTGACGAATTTAAATCAGAGGCTGCCCACAGGTTTCATTGAATTGTAAATGGAAAAAAAAATAAATATGTTTGTTGAGATTTTTTTTAAGTAAACTATTTTTTAATATTATTCTGCAAAACTGTTAAAGATCCCAACAAATGGATTTAGAGTTATTGCCTTATTAAAATGAAAACAAACATTTTTGAATTGATGACAGTTAAAACATCAGTTGCTTTTACCATTTTTGATTTGTAGTCTGGGGCCAAACAAAATCATGTCAAGGCCCACAAAAGGCCCATGGGCCACACTTTGGAACCCCCTGGACTTGGATCATTAATATCAATCTAAATCTAAAATAATCCTATCCAGTTTTTAATTTCTTCAGCAATTCTATTAATTTAAATGAAGTTGTTTAATTGCAAAGTTTAAGTCAGGAACTATCTTCAATCAGCCGATCAATTTATTTTTTGCTCCTTTCCTCTTTTCTTCCATTTATTGCAGCGCTGCTTCATTTGAAGAACTTTCATCCGTTTGGTTTCCACCGACCCTCGTTTCGGTCCTAAAACACACACGCACACACACACACACACACACACACACACACACACACACACACACACACACACACACACACACACACACACACACACACACTCCTGCTAGCATTTCATCATTTCCGTACTGTAACTTAGTGCAATCATCATCATCGTCTCGCAGAAGAGGCCCAACTTCTTTGCACCTTGTAGAAAAAAAAGCAAAGAGGGATCATGAGTTTTCACTGATGCAGGTTTACGTCGTCATTTCAGCAGAAAGGTGCATTTCACTGCAGATTAATGAACTGTACAAAGTATTTATGCAATTATAACTGGTTTTAGATTTTTTTTTAATGATTTCAGCAAGTTTTGTTACTTGTTGCATGTTTTATTAACACAGCTGACTTTCTGTGTCAGTGTATTATTGTACATGTTAGGGGTTTTTTTCTGCTGGATTCCTGCTTTTGTTTTTATCTCTGAGGCATTGTCTGATGAGCGGCCGACTGGTCCCGTTCCCGGCGTCGGGTGGACTTTTGTACTCTTTACGGAAAATAACTTCGAACTAATTACGAAATGAGGAAGAAAAAAAAAACTTTAAAAATCCTGGATTATTTTGGTGGTCTTGTATTAGACTGCGTTACTACAGTATCTGGTGTGCAATCTGTGATAGCTGAATGTTCCTTGTATCTTTGTGTTCACTACATCCTACGAGAGAAAAATAAAAAAATAGTAGAATAACACCCACGTCAATGTCGACGGAGCAAAATGGTTCAATAATGCAATAGAGCTGGTACTTATTCTTTTTCATTTCAGTTCAATAAATAATTGCTGTTTACCACCGAAGGCTGCCGTCTCTGATTTGGGGAATATTGTCAGGTCTGTTTTGAAATCTGACATAAATACAAGCGTACAGAGAAATATTAATCACCGCTGCATCTGGTTTAATTGTTTACTGCTCATCCAAATGTAAAAAAAATGTGCAAAGATATTCTTCAACTCCTCTACTGGTAAAGCTTTTGGGAGTAAAATAACTTTTAGATTCAGATGTTAGACTTAAACTTCTCAGAAAATGAAGTTTATCTAAATAAATCCTAAATGAATTGTTTAATTTCTAAAGAGAAGTCTTAGTAATTGGTTGTGCATTACATTTTAAACTGTTTGCTTATTAATGTGTCTCTAAAGGACATTTTTTAAAAAACTTCCTAATTTTTTAATTCAGGTCATTATGTGCTAATTTATCAGTTAAAATAAAATTTTGCTTTCCTGCAATTTCTGCAAAAGTTCTAAAGTTTAAAAAAGTGTATATCTTCAGCTTTTAACACAAATTTCAACAGGTGTTCCACTTAATTTATGAGATTAGTTTTTGGAACCATTTTCATCTCAAACTTTATTTTGCAGAAAATGTTTGAATGTTTTTAATCTTGACAGTTTTGCTAATTTAGCTGATCGACTTGCGTGTCCGGTTATACTTTTCTGAGCTTTCTTCTGATTTATGTGGATTAAACAACTGTTTTCAAATTGAAATTGGTGTCAAACGTTTGACAAAAACATTCCATTGCATCAAACTAATTTGGTAAAAATCTACTGTGCCACATTTTGCTGCTTTTATTTTGAAAATCCGAATGAAAGCTTACAGCTCCAAAAGTTAACCAGACCACGCAACGATTATTTTTAACATCTTTCTTTATGTGTTTGACATTTTGCTCACCAACATCATTATCATGACTTTGTGAGGATTTAAATTGATTTGAATTAAACAGATTTGTTGGATTTGAAGTTGGCGGGTTGGATTTGGGGTCTGTGAGTTTTCAGGTTGTAATCGATGCAAAATGTGTGTTTGTGTTTAATTCGGCCCTCAATGGTTGTCACTGCAGAGAGAAGCAGAGCAGGTTAACCCAGTATGAACTGAATGGAGGGTGACACCGCAGCAGAGCAGAATAAAGCTACAGAAATAAATACAGACTCACCCCGGAAGTTAGGTTCGCCGCACTTCAAAATAAAACCAAATGAGCCCATTTTTGCATTTATGAATTACATCTGAAGACAAAGAAGTAAATGATGGGTGAAAGAATACATATCACATGTAACAATGACTTTTTGCAAATGGTGGAAACTTTTAATGTTTGGTATTTTAAGCTTTCTTTACTGTAAAAAATTATTTAGCTGCAAATAATATTTTAAGAATTTCCAACGTATAAAACTTTAATAAGAGAAAAATACATTTATGGTGGATAAATTATAAATGGGGTCATTAAAAGAAATTATTCATTCAATGACAAGCAAATGTGACATTTTTTATTCATATCTACAACAATGTAAAATAGATTAATGGGGAAAAATTGCCAAAAAAACTCAAGAAATTTTGAGACTGATTTGTGAACTTTTCCATAGAAAAACTTTTCAAAAGTCAAAAAATTTTGACTTGTGAAAAATTTCTAATGTTCTCAAAATGTTTTTCACAAATTTTCAACTTTTGGTTTTCTTTTTTCTTTTTTTTTTTTTCTTGAAAATTTCTGAGTTTTTTTGGTGAAAATCTACCCCCATTTTATCTACAATTGTACTAACATGCCATATAATAGATAAATGAAGATGTAAGTAAATAAAGTAATAAACTGAGCTGTTCCTTTAAACTTTTGAGGTTAAAAATGAAAGAAAACCACGCGTCTGCGAGAAGCTCTTATTTTTGAAAGCCTTCGCCGGAAGCGGTGTCCATGACGTTTCGTGCTTCGCAGCAGTACAACAGGCAAAGCAGGGACTGCGGTGGTAAACAAACAGGTAGAGCAGCCGAGCCTCGTCCCGCGGAGCTGCGCTGTCGGCACCGGTTGACTTTCAGAAAACTTGACCTTCTTCCCGGACCGCTTCTGGGCTCGAACTGTCTCTGAAAACCCCGGACTTCGGCTGTTAAGAGTCCAAGGCTCGTCCCCGGTCCTCTCCCGCCCTCGGACTCGGCTTATGTGACACATTAACGTCCCGGGGGCGAGACGAGCGAAACATGACGGAGCTGAGGAAGCGAGGCGCCGGCGGAGGAGAGCCCGACACCGCCGACAACATCAGCGACAAGGTAAGGCGCACCTTTGGGGCGGAAGGAGACACCGGATCACCGTGGATCCTCGTCCCGGAGCCAGTAAGCTGCGCGGTTAGCCGGGCTGGTTAGCTGGTTAATCCAGCTTCAGCCGCAGCTCGGGCTCGGATTCGGTTCCGATCGGGAGCAGTTCGGGTGGAGGTGATACCTTCACCTGTTTATCATAGCTGAGCTTTTATGAGCCGGACTGGGCAACGTCAGGCTGATGCTGACCAATAATTAATGTGTCACCCTAAAGTTTATATCTGGATTAAAACTGAAGGATTTAAATCATTTCTGAACATTAACTTTGTTGTCTCTAAGTGACTTTGTAACTAATTTAAACCTGTTAAGGATTTTATATAGAAATACTGAAAATGCCAACTAGAAATAATTGTTCCATTATCGTTTTGGCGCCCCTGTTAGCATGGCGCCCACATCCCTCAATTTACCCACTTTCGTCCTTAGAGTCATCATCCAATTGGAAAACCTGTCTGAGGTCACAAACACCTGTCCAATGCAGAAAATGCCAACTAGAAGTAGCTATTCCACCATTTTTCAGCAACAAGAACAGGCTTTGACTCTGTTGATTTATTTTGCCAAGTGCATTAAATTTTAGGAAAAATCACTGGATGTTTGTCGTCTTTTTTACTATTAAAATAATTAAATTCAAAGCAGAATCCTGGATGAATACTTTGTGTTGAACCTTACATTTCCTGTTGTAAGATGTTAAATTGTCTGTGTCTTTGTTTTTAAAGGCTGCCGTCAGGGAGAATGGCATCCGAAAATTGTTTTTTAAAATGTGTTTCTGTTGTCAACTGCCTGGCAAAACCAACTGAAGCCATTCTTGACTCATTCCGAGAGCCACAAACTGCCCCCGGGCCACAGTTTAGACGCCCCTGGTTAATAAAAGTCATTCTCAGTGGCTGTGGTTCCATTAGAAATATTCACAAAACTTTGTCAATATTCCTCTAATGTCAGAAGAACACAATTGTAATGGTTTCCATCATCCTAGTAGCAAAACCTTCTATCAAAAATCTATTTATTTTTAAAGTGCCGTGTTTCCATTTAACAAATATATTTTTGATATATTGCACAATTATTGGTGAAGAAGTTAGATGTGGACTAAAACCTTTTGCACAGCAGCAAAATCACCTGCTTTAATAATAGGCCTCTCATAAAAAATTTTGCTGGATGATAAATTGCCCCAGAAATGATTGCAATAAACAGTAATATTGCCATTTTGAGACAAATTTCAGCTCAATAGTAATAACGGCTGACCTACTTAGCAGGTTTAGTGACTCCTCCTCCTTTAATTACAGTAGAACTCGTATTTCTATATCTGCAGCATCTGGCTGCTTCGCTGCGATGCATGCAGTGGTGTCAGGACTCGCTCTGATTAGGCTTTGTGGTGCAGCTAGTGGTGTTTAAGTTATTACCTTTTCTTGTGAAAGAGCTGCTGAGTAGAAGAAAGAAATGGGAAACTGAACACGACAGTTTTAATGTGTCGGAGCTGTTTGTGGCTGCTATGACTCAGCTGGACTCGGCTTGTTTTGGGGGCGTTAAACGATAGCTTTGCTTTGCTTTGCTTTGCTTTGCTTTGGTTCACACCCTGTCGATGAATCCCAAACAGAGCTGAAGAAACGTCTGGGACGTCTGCTGCACACTTTACATGACAGCTGACCTTGGTGGGGTTTCTGCAGACCGGCTGTTGGTCCCGATGTTTAACATTTTTTAATATCTCTGCAGTCTTCTGCTTCAGAAACCGTTGTTTATTTTGACTAAAGTTGGGAGTGTTTATTTTTCCAAGATGAAAATATTAGACACGATGCACATGGTTCACTGACTTTCTGAAGCCATTAATGAGCTTCTGGCAGAATCATAGCTGGATGTTTGAGTGTCTGGTTCAAACCTTCTTTTTAACTGAGATCAGGCTCTCAGTCAAGCATAAGACAAAGTTATTTATAGAAGTTAAAAACAGAAAAACAGACATTAAAGACGCACACAAAGTTAATCAAGTAAAGGGACTGATGAAGCAAATAATTATTAAAATGATGAGAAATTAAAAATGACAGAAATCAACAGAGTTTGGTAATAACTTGTTCCATTCACTGTTACATTTATTTGTGTAACTTTTTTGAAATATTTACTTTTAGGAGTATTTTTTGCTACTTTTCTTACTTTTACTTGAGTAATTTTATTATAAAGTAAAATTTCTGGATTTTCTATCTACTGAATGAAAAACGAACCAAAAACAAACCCAGACACAAACCTGGAGTTTCTGTTGCGTTTAGAAGTTTGAAAAAAATTCTTGGTAACATTTTGTTTTTGCATGGTATGCTAGTTACACTGCAAAATATTTCAATATTTCATTAATCACAATTAATCCAAGTAATCGTTTCTGGCTCAATAAAACCTTAAAATGCTCTGCTTCGCTGTCACATGACCTGAAATCAATGGCAACAAAATGTAAATAAATTTTGTCTGCCTGGTTATTATCGGCTTTCTGATTCTACAAGTGTATTTATTCTGAAACGCTGTTTATTTTTGATGTGATTTACTATGCTTTCATAAATGAAATTAAGCTTGAAAGACGATCCACGCAGGCTGCTGTGATTCTGCTGAACTCGGCTTAAAGTTGAGTGTAAATCAGGCAGCCGATGTTTAACTGGCGCAGGGCAAAGCCGTGAATTAGAGACAATTGGCGCTTGAATGGCAGCCCACACTTTCTATTGATCCATCTGTGTCAATGAGCATTAAATTCCCACCTGGCTTTGTTTTGCTGCTGAAAGCTTCTTATTGCTTCATGCTGCAGGAAAGAAAAAAAAAAAAAAAAGCAAAGTTGTTGAAAACGAAGATGTGTCGTTACCTAGCAACCCCATCAAAGTTCTGCCTGTTACCTAGTAACCCGAGCTGAGCTCCAGCGAGTTTGGTCAGCTGGGCTTACTGCGCTGTACAATGACTGCTGGAAAAAACAAGTGTTTTGTTGTCAACTTACCGTCCAGAAACCATTTGCTGAATTCTTGTTGGTTTTGCAGGAGGCTCCACTACTGCTTTTCAAAGATGTATGGTTGTATAATTGCACATCTGTTTGCAGCCATTTTCACATGCGAGTGTAAACTTTGAGACTGTGGGCGTGGCCAGTAGCAGCTTATTTGGATTTAAAATGACTCCCTAAAACATCTCATTCTGAAAGGAACAGACTAAAATCTCATTTTCTAAGAATGATTTTGTACAGGAAATGTTTGTATGGCCCATAGACCTATCCTTACGTGTCAAGGAAGCATAAAGGCCGCCTTTAAGCTTTGCACATCTCAGAGCTCTGATGAGTCCATTTCCATATAGAGCGACTGATCTTAGGCTGGTTTGAGAAACAAAATATCATGTAATCTCTAAATATGCAAAGCTGGCAGAAACGTAGCCAGAAATCGCTAATTACAGAGGCATGCCACACCTTTCAGATTTCTGTTTGAATGTAATTATAGAAACGATGCATCATTTCCCTCCCAAACTTTGTGTACAATTAGAAGTTAATGAAATTATCTGAAACCATATTTACTATTCTCACTTAGTTGGAACAATCTCATGCTTTTTATTTATTTTTTAATATCCTGAAACGATTTCTTCAGGAAATCGCTATTTCAAAGCTGTAAGCGAGGTTAAAGGTCAATATATCCTCTGCTAGAACAGAGACATTTGTTCTCTGTCCCAGAGCTGCAGGGACAAAATGACATCATTCAGTTGCAGAGCTGCAGAAAGACAGACGGATGACGAAGCCAATAAAATCAGTACTACAAGAAATTATTATTTAAAGACACTGTGCAGTTTGTTTGTTTATGTTGCAAAACATCAAACAATTTGAAATATTTTTAAAGGTTGTATTTGCTTAGCAACTAAAATATCGTCCTCTGTTTGATTTGTAATTCAGTTTTGTATGAAAACGAGTCATTTTTGATAATCGACCATTCTACCACTCAATTCTAATGACCACTTAACATTGGAATATTGAATAAAATTCATTATTTTGAATATTACTAAATACCATGACTGGTTCTGGTTAGATTTTGGTTCATCAGTGATGTTTTTCTAAAAAAAACAAACAAATCTTTAATGTTTTTCTGTCAAATGCAGCAAAAATATAGAGTTTTAGAGCAGAACAATCCTCAAAAGATAAAAAGACAAACTCGTTATTCCCTTTATCCTGAATTTAAATCCAGTTTCACCTCCTCTGCCTCTATTTTCACACCAACTAGAGTAACCCACACGGCAACCCGACTGCTTTCCCATTTTGTGAGCTAATTACGTCTCTGGACTTAAAGCTCAGTAATTTAACCCTGATGACCCCGTTTAACCACACTTGGCAGCGTTTGAGTAAAAGAGCCCAGGAAAGGTAAAAAAAAAAGAAGGACGAGGAGGAACAGCAGAGTCTCTAGTTAAGGATGGAAACGCAGCGCTGAAATGGAAAGGCAGCTGGTTCCTTTAGGGGGAAAATCTCCGCCTCACCTCGTTAAGATCAATTAATGGTGTTGCATCAAGCGCACAATTAACGTTCTTAATCACATGTATTAATGCACATGGGCTCCTGTAACTCGGTGCTGCAAATTGAAACTGAAAATTAAAAAAGTATATTTTTTATTCTTTGCTGGTGCAAATCTGGTAATATTTTCATAAGATCCACTTCTCAGTCAAACGCTTCTGAGAATATTTGTCAATGGGATAATAGAAGTATATTACGATGAGCTGAAGGCGTGGCGTCTCGGTGGAAAAACTTCTTAAAGAGACAGAAGCCCAATTTCAAGCTGCCAAATTTTTGTTTTTTCAAAGTTTTTTTTTTGTAACATTTCTTAGATTAATCTCAACATTTGAGATTTTTTATTTTTTTTGCAAAATTTTGACTTGTGCAGCTCTAAAATGTCCAAGTTTGTTTTTCTAGAAACTTTCTGAGCAGAAATGTACTTTTCTCTCTTTCTGTCTGCAGCAGCCCAAATGCTGGAGGTGACCTTTGGTAACCTTGGAGACATTGATTACAAGCACATATTGTCTTCTGCAGCAGTCACTCTGCTAGTTGCATTGATTTCATTTCACAATCCTGAGAAAAACAATTTTAAATAGTTTCTCCTTTTTAACTCTGGTACCCTCTCGATATTTACGTGATTTCATCTCTCCTGTTTTTACATGCTTTCTGGAGCTTTTTTCTGAGTCGGAGTTTAAATATTGATCTTTTTTGTTTGTTTGTTTGTTTGTTTGTTTGTTTTCTGGCAGGAAGCCGATGGCGACGACAGGCTGGGCCTGTCAGCCGACACTGAGGGAGACTGTGACGTCGACTCCAAAACAGACACTCCGGACGTTCCCGCCTCCACAGCGGACACGGACAACACTCCAGAATGCCTGAACAAAGCTCTGGAGGGGCTTCAACCCAAGTACGTCCTCCTCAAACACAGAGATGCATCCAGTTCCAGTTTGGGCACCCAACAACAACCTATTGCTAAGCAAGATTTTGCCTCGTATCTGATGAATTTATTTTCACAGAAAAAAATGTGTTTTAAGTTGCAGAGTTGAGATTTACTGGAGGAATGCTACGTTATTGCATTGTAGGCAATAAAATGTGTGTTTTCTTAAGTAGAAGAAAATTTAATTACTTGTTTGTTTCTCTTTTAATGTATGTCTAATATTGTATGAAAAGGCCGAAGTGGTTCAGTAAAAATTCTGTAAATCCATCTTCCTATTTTTAAAGGCCATTTTTAAAATCTGATTAATCGCCAGAATAACTGATCAAATTATCAGTCATTTAATATTTAAAATTACATCATCAGAAGGACCAAAATATAAATTGAAGTGGAAATGTTGGTATTTTAAGGACAGAAATGACAATAATTTGTATAAATAACAAAAAACAGAATTGGGCAAATGAGTTTCTTTCAATAAAGGATTGTTTCATTTTATTAAATGTTTATTGTTCCTAATGGCTTGACAATTATGATCATTCAGATGCTTGAGGAGAAGCAGAAATGTCATTTTGTCCCAGACAAGGAGTTTGTTTTGATTCGCTGGTGCCTGACGGAGATAGACATGGGAAGAAAGATAAGAGTCTGACAAGATAAATGCATAAGGCAGCAGAGATATTGACGCTATCGAGTGGAAAGGTCCTCGACAATGGGCTGTTCTGTTGTAAAGCGAAGGAGCGGAGGGTGTGACCGCTGGTCAAGGTGCTTAAAGGTTCATCAAGCCAAAGGGCGCCGCTGCAGAGCGGGAGAAGAACCCGAAGCTGGAGTTAGATTAGATCTCAGTGATCATCGGGACCTTGATGGATTGAACTGAAAGATGAATGACGCAGCAGAGGAGGGATGAATGGATTGGAGGTGAAGACTGCAGGAGAGAGAGAGTTTATGAGGATAGTGAGCACTCAGCAGTCAGAGCGTTTCTCCTGATGCAGCGGTTTCTCTCCTCCATTCCGGCCGCCCCGGTTTGGCTCCTGTGAGGTCACATCCTGTGTTTTGATTCGCAGTGAAAGGTGTCGCCTCAGAGCTACAAACATGGCACAGTGTTGTGGGAATATGAAGCTTTTCCCTGCAAGCACGCTTTGCATTACATTACACAGGAATGTGGAAGAGATGATTTTATTGAAGAGGACGATAAGAGTTTAAAACTTTAATGTCAATTTCTATCTCTTTTCTTCCCAAAATTCTGATTTAATATCAGATTTCTGACTTTTTTTATCCTCAAATTTGAGTTTTTATGGTGATTTTCTTTCCCCTCAGATTTTTGACTTTGATGTCAGATTTTTCTCTTCAATCTGAGATATGTCTTTAATCTCAGATTTCTGTCTTTAATCTCAGATTTCTCTCTCTAGTCTCAATTTCTGAGTTTTTTTCTCTCAGAATTTTGACTTTTTTTCCATCAGATTTCTGACTTCTCTTCTCAAAAATCTTATTTCATTTTTTTCCCTCAGAAGTCAGATTTCTGAGGAAAACAGTCTGAGTTGTCCTTTATTTGTAATTAAAATAATAATAAATCGAATGTTTCACATCATATTGTTTGAGAAAGAAAACCAGAGTAAATAGAAAACACAGTTTTTAATTAGTAGCGATTTAGTTTGATTTCCAATTACCTGTTATTAATCACCTTTGGCAGGATAAATATTGATGTAATAATCTCATCTAAACATTTACTCTCATAACTCTTATATTTCTTTATCTCATTTGACATTAATATTTTCCCCATTTCGATTCAAATATTCTGCTAATCACGATTCTCTGTTGAAATGTGAATTTGATGGTTCTTCTGTTGATCTTGTGATGAATCTGATATAACAGCCATGCATTTTCTCTAAAAGCTTTTAATTCTTCCCAGATGGAGGAACTACTGGATACGAGGACTTCTGTCCATTTGCATGATTTCGAGCTTTTTCCTTATGATCTACATGGGACCCATCATGCTCATCTTTGTGGTAAGAATCACACAGGAGTCATAAAACTTTAATTTAAAAAAAACTCTCTTGTGTACAAGTTGAAAGTTTGATGTTAGTAAAAGCTGTTGGCAGAATTTAAGATAAACTTTGCCTCTCAAAAAAGCTTTAATAAATTAAAAATTGTGCTTGTGTTCCAGGTGATGGGTGTGCAAATCAAGTGTTTCCAGGAGATAATCACCATCGGCTACAGAGTTTACCATTCCTATGAGCTGCCTTGGTTCAGGACTCTGAGCTGGTGAGGAAAATCGATTCAAACTGCAGCTACAGCTGATGCAGCTATTCCTGCACTGATGCATAACTAATATTTTGTCATACAACTCAGAAGGAATGATTGAAATAAAAGCCACTTTTTACAAAAACAGAAAATCTTACAGAAGTATTTTCAGTCTAGTTTGCAGTGTAAATATCTTAGTACATTTAAAATAAGACAAAACTAACTTATAAGTAATGTTTCATCAAGATATAGGAGATTATTTTAAGCAAATAATTCTTAAAATACAAATTATTTCAATAATTAAAAATTATTTTTATTTTAAGAATTAAGCACTGCAAAAACAATAAATCCTCCCAAGTATTTTCTGTATGCACATGAAATGAAATGTAACTTACATATAACTTCAGCAAAATAAAGGAGCTTTAGAGTCAATCATTCCTTAATATTGATAAATATTTCACTTATAACAAAAGTTTTTCTGTGTTATATGTGAAATAATCCTCCAGTGGAGCTAATCAATAATATATTATTATTTTAATCAATAATAAGGAATATTTGTCTCTAAAAAAACTCTTATATCTTGCTGAAAAGTTATTTGTAAATTGTTTTGTTTCAAATACACTAAGTAATAATGGAGCATAAATTAACGAATCTTAGAGGCAGTAACTTTTCCTCTACGAATTTTAATAATCATTTGAAGAATCGTTTCAGCCCTGAACAGAATTGAGAAAAATCGTATCTGGTATGAAAAAAAAAATATTTTGAATCCACATTGTTAAAAATACTCTTAAAATCTCCAATTTGATCAATGTGTCTAACTTTTTTCTGGAGCTGCTATAGTGGAGAATAATTTTCCGCCAAACTTTTCCCCAATCAGAAAAAGCTTCAAATACGAGACAAAAATCTCCAACGCAAACATGCTCTAAATTTGAGCATAAAATTTTGTTTCCTTTTATAAATAACTAAACAGAAAATTAATTATGATTCTATTGTTTACTATCTAAATTAAAATAGTATCAATTACAGTTTGTGAGATTTGCATATTTTGGTGTGTATGCGTGTGTGTATGTGTGTGTGTGTGTGTGTGTGTGTGTGTGTGTGTGTGTGTGTGTGTGTGTGTGTGTGTGTGTGTGTGTGTGTGTGTGTGTGCGCGCGCGCGAGCTGCTGTTGTTGACACTTTGCATACACGCCCACACAATGCAAAGATCAGAGCAAAGATCACTGCCATGCTGGAAGTAAATCAACACTTTTTTTTTTCTACCAAGGCCACCTCTCTCACACACACACACACACACACACACACACACACACACACACACACACACACACACACACACACACACACACACACACACACACACACACACACACACAGACTGACTGTAGGTCAACGTGCAGCAGATCAAGACAGAAACCCAAACAATAGCTTAGCACCAGAACTGTGCTTTCTGCCTCAGGTACTTCCTGGTTTGTGTCAACTACTTCTTCTATGGTGAAACGCTCGCAGATTACTTTGGGGCTTTGGTACGGAGGGAGGAGCCTCTGCAGTTCCTGTCTCGCTATCACCGCTTCATTTCTTTCACTTTGTACCTTGCAGGTGAGTCGCCTTCAGCATCTTGGAATAACCCATGACCTTTGACCCCTTTGAATCAGATTCCCTTCTCAAACAGTGTTGGTTTTGTGAAGAAAAAAAACCCCAAACAAATCCCTTTGGGAAACTTGGAGCATAAACTCTGATTTACAATCATGTGAGCTCATTCATATCCTCCTTTTACTTTTTTTTATTTTTGAACTTTCGTTTGCTGGTTGAACAGTTTATTGATTTATACCAGCTGACATGCAGCGCCCTCTGAAATTATGAGCACTGATGGTGAGGATGCGTTAAGAAAAGCCTTAAACTAAATTAAATTCCCCAGTAAACGAGCAGAGCCGGTTCGTAGGGGCGCTGGGTCAGCCCTCCATTTTTGACCTGAGTGAAGTTTCCCCCCAAATCTTCTTCAGAGCTAACAAAATGTTTCTTTGCGCCAATTTTGTTATATTTGAAGAATGTGGGGCCCAACTTCACTCAGGTGAGTTTTTGCGTTAAATATGTAAAAAGTTGACACAATTTTTAAAATAAAATATTGATAACAAAGAAAATATTTCAGAATAAAACGAGTCTTTCGTCTTAGCATCCTGCTTTCCTTTCCTGGGATACAAAAACCAGGAACCAGAAGGCGTAAGTGGTGGCATCATGAGTGGAGTGATACAGTTATCAGACAGTTGCCAGAGCGCCTGACAGCAAGTCAGTGTTGTATTAAAGGTAATCAGACGCAAAAAAGATGCATAAACCAGCATGAGCAGCTCTCGTTTCAGTTTATAGCGGGACGATGCAGGTTTAAATGAGGTATTGTGTTGTTAACGTAACTTTTAGTACGTCAGTGAACATATGAAGTTGTTTAATCAAATGCATGGTTCACATTACTCCCTACAGCACAGAGCAGACTGTTGTTTAATCTACTGTACACTGCTGAGTAAAACTGACAGCATGTTGTTTACTCTTCCACAGGTTTCTGCATGTTTGTGCTGAGTTTAGTGAAGAAACATTACCGCCTGCAGTTTTACATGGTGTGTATCAGCAAAGTAACCATCTCCTCTGCTTCACTTGACCTGCTGTCCATCCTCTTTGTCTGTTCTCCGCTTTTCATGATGTCAAACTGAGAAGACTTTAATTTTTGGACTGGTTTTATGCACTAGTGAAGTTATTTTAAAGCAGTAACACTGAATTTCTGCAATTAACAGTGAACTGGCATAAAACTAGCTGGATACTTTAATGCTATTCTTGGCAGAATTGGTCTGCATTTAATTGTTTAAATGGGCACCACCCGGCTTTTAAACATAGTCTGCTAATTTTCCGCAGGGTTTAGGTCAGGGTTTTGAAAAGGCCTTTCCTGAAGCTTAATATTATGAGGAAATATTTATGTTGCAACGTGCAGGATCCTGCTTGCTGACCATGACTATCGTTAGCTTTAGCTGTCGAGTTGTCAACATAACGCGCTAAATCTTAAATGAACACTTTATATATAGATGAAAAAGGGACGCAGTTGTCAATAATTAATTGTCAACATAACAAATTAGATAACAAAATTCCAGAGTATCACATTTCACAGGTCAAGAAAAAGTTTCAATTGAAAAGAAAAGTTAGCAAGAGGGAATGAATTAGCTCATTTATGCTAGCTTGACTATGACAACCTTAACATGTAGATGTGCTGTAGAATTTGGTGTGTTTCAGTTCAGCTAAAATAAAAATAAATAAAAAGGCAACCCACACACAACTCCCTGACAGATTAACGTGAAGAAGGTGGTTAAATTAGCTTATCAGCCACCGCTGACAACGTGGGTCAGACAATCACTGCACAAGGTCATAAAATAACAATATAAATGGTATTAAATGCCAAATCTCTAATTTGTAATCACTAATGCCAAGATTAGTTATTTTTCAATGCGAACACTGCTGGTTCTGACGTTAGAAAAGTCCTTCAGATCAGTGGAAAGTTTAAGAATGAACTTTATCTGTGACTGAATTCTGCCAAAAAATAGGCATCTAAAATCCAGAATTATGCTGTTCACTGCAAAAATGCAAGCTTAAATGAAAGCATGCAAAAACACAAAATATTAACTAATATTTTTGGTCTAGTTTCTAGTGCAAATAAATATACTTGAAATAAGACAAAGCTAACTTACAAGTATTGTCTCAGCAAGATGTAGGAGCTTGTTTTAATAATTTCTTAATATTGGTGAAAAAATTATTGTTCTATCTGCAAATTATTTCACTTATAGGAAAATGATTTGTTAGTAGAATAATCTGCCTGTACAACTAGTAGTTTTTCATGAATATTCAGGAGTTACTAACTTTAAACAAGCTGAAAAGTTTCTTGTAATTTAGTTTTTTCTCATTTCAAGTGTACTAGACAAAGAATACTTGGTAGGATTGTGTTTTTGCAGTGCATGTTTTAAGTAAATTCAAGCTTTCGTGCTCAGTTTCTCTTGTTTTCTGAATGTTGCATAATCGTTCCATTCTGAAAATAGAAAAGCTGACATCACTCATTTACACCCCCGAATTAAGAACTCATTCATGCTGATCATGCGCCTGGAGTTGATTATTTTCAAAATATGACTGATTCTTGCTCCTGTATTGTACTGCATTCATCATGCTGCAGTATCACAGTTTGATTTTGTCCATGCATCCTAAATTTCCAGTGTGAACTCCGTTGTCCATCTGTTGCCTGCGTGTCTCGCTTCATTTTGATGTTTCTGATTGTTTCCCTCCGCCGGCGTCATTCACCTGTCTGGACTCCATTTTTTTCCGACACGCGCTCGCTTCTGAACGGGCACAACGACATTCCAGTGCAGTGAAACTGTGGCGTTTGTGTTTTGTGTTTGCCATTCCAGTTTGCTTGGACCCATGTGACCCTGTTGATTGTGGTAACTCAGTCCCACCTTGTCATTCAGAACCTGTTTGAAGGAATGATCTGGTAAGCAGGACACAGACAGTCATGATGTGCCATCACTAGTGTTGTGCTGCTCTTTTTTGTGTGTCCTGTGGTAGCAATCACCAAATAGAAACTGATTTTAATTAATTAAATCATTGAAGTAGAATAAATGTTTAGTCATTATGATTCAGAACTGTCTTGTTTTTGGTTGTTGTGACTTCAGTTCCCGCTCACTGTAGCTGAAATTCCTGCTTTCTAGGTACATTGTTCCTATTTCCATAGTGATCTGCAACGACATCATGGCCTATCTGTTCGGATTCTTCTTTGGGAGAACTCCTCTTATCAAGGTAAAGTCTTTTCTTTTAAATGCAAGTTGTAGCTGATTTCTGTGTGAAATCTCTTTTATACTCAACATAAAGTCTTTTGGTAAAATATCTTAGCACTAGAAATAAGACAAAAGTAGCTTCCAAGTAAGTTTTCAGCAAGAAATATGAGCTTCTTCTATGTCAACATTTCCATGTTTTAGATCTTGAGCTGAGTGAAATCTCTGTCCTGTTATTTCCCTCGTTTGGGCCCAGCTGTCCAACCGGTGACCTCGTGTTTCACTAATTTAGCGTCAGCAACAACAACGTGACTTTAGTCTGGAGATTCGCCATTAAACCAGCGTAAGACTTCAGTCGGCTCACTAAGCTCGGCTTGTGACTGGCAGCTGCGACCGGTGAATCGTTGGTTTTAACGTCTGACTCATCAGAGCAAGTGGTGCTTAAGTCCAAGCTTAAGACTTTTTAATTCATACAGAGGTTTATCACCATGTACCATTTTTCTTATTTCTTTGTTTCTCGTTGGATTCAGTTGGTCTATGTTTCTTGTGATGTGACTTTTCCTGTGAAGTGCTTTGGTCACCTTCGTTGATTGGCATTAAGAATTTCAGGTGAGGGCGTCTGAAGCCTAAAAACCGATTACCTTCGGTTCTTGACTAATCATGAATCTAAGCTGCTTATCTTGTACTTCCTTACACTTGGTGTTAATGGAAGTTCATGGTGATCAATGACTTCAAGGTTTTCAAATCATCTGTCAAATTATTATTCCTTCCACTTGATATGCTGCATTTGGTTTCCTCCAGCTGTGCATCATGACCAAACGTCTGGTTTTATCTGCCCACAGAGCTTTTTTCCTTAAGTTTTGTGATTCACTCAGGGTGGATTCAGTTAGTATGCTTTAATCAAACTCTACATCATTTACCTAGAAAGGCACAAAATAATCCTGCAAGGGTTGAAATGTGACGCCTCACCATTTTGTTCACATCTTCATTGTTTTAAGAAGGAAGTTGTGTCTTCCTCAGAGGTTTTTACATGCAGAAGAAACAATAAACATCAAGACAGCAACAGTAATGTTTGTAATATTAATAATAAGATAGTATTCAGTGCAAAGTAGCCTACATCTCCTTTGATGGTGGCAGTGAGGGACCTGGATAATGGATCAGGGGGCGCTGGCCCAAAAAAGGTTAATCAAGCCAAGTGTGCAACTTTGTAAAACTAAGTCATGCTATTCTATTTTTTTTTAGAGAAGACACTTTCTGAAATTACTTTTTAGGTTAGATCCCATCTCTCCTTTTAAATGTCTTTCAGTGAAGACATGCTAGAAAGTCTTCATGAAAACCTTGGCGTTTTAACCTCAACTTCTTTAACTAGATTGAAATATTTAAAATGAAACAGAAGTCAGTTTTTATGTCCTTGTTGACACTGAGTCAGATCAAAGTACCGCGTGAATAAACGGTTGCTCTCGGATCACAAGCAGTGGATTAATGGTGGCACCAAGTGGATAGAAACGTCGTCAACGTTGTTGATGCTGAAAACATCTTTTCACTTCCTGTTCTCTCTTCGTTCCCCTGCAGCTCTCGCCAAAGAAGACGTGGGAGGGCTTCATCGGCGGATTCTTCTCCACGGTGGTTTTTGGCTTCATTGTGAGTAATTAAGTTGTCACAGCTTCATCACGCGCTCAGCATTTCCCCCTCAATGGTTTCCAAGAACCCACCGAAGGGTGAAGAAGATCTGGGTTTTACAGAAAGCAAATAAATGCTACATCACTGCTACTTCTGCAAGACATCAAACTTTGAAAAAACCTAGAAGCAACCCATGATGCCCGTGACACAGTTTGAGAACCACGGGAATATGAAATACAGATTTAAATACGTAAAAAAGAACCAAAGTGCATAGATAAAATCACCTTTATTGTTGTATCTATTGACAGATTCAGAATCGTGTGGCAACTACTGAAGAGGTTTTCATACAGAGGATGTCCACACACCCTTAAAAAGTCTTACATTCATGTATCTAAAACATTTTTAAGGCCTTAAATTGTCTTAAAGTCTTTTGAAAAAGGTAAGATGGCCTTAAATAAATTAGTCACAGGTCTTAAAATTCTCAAATTGCAAATAAAGTGCATATTTATTGCCAACTAGCCAGACAAGGTTCATTTTTTCAACCCTAAAAATCCCTTAAATTTAGTGTTTTTATCTCTGAATTTCTTTCAAGGTGGCTTTAAAGAAAATTTATAAATTCTTAAATTTGACTTGTTTATACCTACAGATAACCTGCATACTTTAATATTTAGTTTAGGACTGAGATTATATCTCAGAAAAGCATCTTTTCCAAAAGTTATTAGTGCAACATTTCTCTGTTTCCTCATATCTTTGACTAGGCCTGCCCCAATAAGCAATAAATCAATTAATCGGATGATAAATTAAAACAAGCTCAATAGTTTGAATTTGGATGATTTATTATTTCTCTCTTTTCTGTCTATCAAAAACTAGATGATAAAATTCCTCAGTCTGGTGCTTTGGGCTCTGCTAGTCCTTTTTGAAGGACTATTTTGTTTGTATTACCTAAAAAATATGAATATTTATTGCTATAAATTCTGGGACAATTTATCATCAGCAAAATTTACCGTAACAGGCCCATCACTCACGTCTTTGTTTCTTCCCCTCAGCTGGCCTACCTCCTGTCGCAGTTCCAGTACTTTGTGTGTCCGGTGGAGTTCAACAGTGAGACCAACAGGTTCACGGTGGAATGTGAGCCCTCCGATCTGTTTGTCATGCAGGAGTACACGCTCCCTGCCGCGCTGCAGAACACACTCAGCTGGGTGAGACTGGCTCTTAATCCACGCTATTATTCCAGAATGTCCCGAATAAAATCATGAAATCGTGTTTTTTTTTGTTTCCGTTTCAGAAAACGGTGAACCTTTACCCCTTCCAGATCCACAGCATCTTCCTGTCGTCCTTCGCCTCCCTCATCGGGCCGTTCGGCGGCTTCTTCGCTAGCGGCTTCAAGCGAGCGTTCAAAATCAAAGTAAGGAACATGTCATTTCATGAAGCTTCATCTGGTTCCCCGGTTCTTCTGAGAATCCGTCCTTGAGATTTACTGTCAGTAAAAGCCTGTGAAGACGAACTAAATATGTTTATTTGTGTAGCATGAAGAAAACGCCACACAGTGAAATGTGTTTCATTTATTCTGTTTCAACTCTAAACATTCACATGTTGAATGTGGACGTTAAACTTGCTACTGTCGTCCTGACTTGAGGTGAGACGCTGCAGGAATCGGTCGGGCTGCTTCAGCTGAGGTTTTATTTAAAGACCGTTTGCTCAGCAGAGTTTTTGACAAATCGCTCAAACAGCAGCACAAACTCTCTGCTGTGTCGTGGAGATAAAACTGCGCCACCTGCTGTCAGGAAAAACCTCTCAGGGTTTGATTGATCACTCAAATTGCTGCCTGTCGTTGCAGATCATCTCCATTTTTGGTAAATCAGGCAATTAAACATGATAATTTTTCTAAATCCCTTTTAAACTATTTATAGTCTTGTAAAAATCGTATGTTCCCTTCATGGATTGTTTTACCTAGAGGACGGGTGAAAGATCTCAAGGCTCATCTGGGTTCTTGAAATCCTTGAAAATGCTTGAATTTTAATTAAATGTTTGCAAAGTGCTTGATATTCAAACTGCACAGTTTCTAAATAAAGTACAATCTAACATTTGATTAACTGGAAAGTGTTATTTCTAGATATTTTCATACTCCTCTAATTTTTTTTTCTCTCACTGTCTGAATTTAAATAAAACTAAACTTTTCTTGTTTTAGATAAGTTAGAATGACCAAAATGACTTTGTTCTGTTTGTCCCTGCTGTTGAATGATATCATAGAATATGTCACACCGACCATTATCCATTAAATAGAAAACAATCGACCCAATACGTTAAATCACTGTAAACATGAAATCAAAAGTCTGTTTATGAAGTCTGTTCAGTTTATTACTATGGTGCAGGAAATTATAATAAATTCACAATAATATTATGTTTGTGTTTTTAATTGGGGAGAAAAGACAAATATTGGAGGGTTTTGGTTTTAAAGCCATAGTGAGAACCGAGTTAATCTAACCTGAACCTTGGTTTCCTGAATGCCTGAATTAAAACTGATCTCAAAAGAAAAGTATCTCCTCCCTCTCTGCCTGAAGTCGTGAACTTTTACAACTTTGTGGAGTTAATCTTTCAGTCATACACTTTTTCTCTCTGAACCTGTTGTACGAGGATCATGGAAAAGTCATGGGATGCTCTGTTCTTGCAGGATTTCGCCAACACCATTCCGGGCCACGGTGGCATCATGGACCGCTTCGACTGTCAGTACCTGATGGCGACTTTCACCCACGTCTACATCGCCAGCTTCGTCAGGTAGGCAACAAGGTCAAAGTCGGCAAACTCTGACCGTTGATCAGTTGGATTAAAATGTCTGTAAATACGAATGAGTGAAAATCTCTCTGTTTCCTTCCTTCCTTTATTCTTCCTTATTTCCCTCCTCCCTTATCTGTTGTGCCTCCTTTCCTCCTCCCTCCTTCTTCCCTTCTTTCCTCCCTTTAATTTTTCTTCGTTGTAACCGAGTCTCCTACTTTCATTCCTTCCTTCCTCTCTCACCTTCACACCTATATCGTTCCCTGGTTTTTATTCTTTTCCTTTCTTGTGTCATTTTAATATATTATATTTTTATTTTATTTTTGAATTTGGGTTTTCCATTGAGTTTCTACATCTGCACTAGAAGACACATCTATTTGAAGGCTTTTTGCCCATCTTTACCAGCCTTAGCGCTACGTTTGCTGGGTTCTCTCTGCACTGTGTTACTTTGACTGGGCCGTTTGTGTTGCAGAGGTCCGAACCCCAGTAAAGTGCTGCAGCAGCTGCTGATGCTGCAGCCGGAGCAGCAGCTCAGCATCTTCCACATCCTGCGCTCCCATCTGAAGGAGAGGGGTCTGCTGCCGCCGCCGGCCGTCCGGGCCGAGTGACACCCACTCAGGAAGAGTGTGAGGCGGTTTCCATAGCTAGTACGAGCACACACACACACACACACACGCAGAGACACACACACACACACGCAGAGACACACACATGCACCTTTGGACTGCACTGTGTGTTACTCCCAGACACATCATCAACTTTCTCGATTTGAGGTGACTCTTGAGGGGGAAGAAAAAAAAAAGTACCAAACCAAATCCGGAAGTCGCCGCCGCCGGTTTGCTTTTGACCGTCTTCACTCGCTTTTCCAGCGTCAGCGAAGGAAGACGAGGAGAAGCTTGGATTGTTTGAGAACGACAAACTTTGCACTGACTTTTCTGATGTGAACTGTTAAGAGAAACTTCCACCAGCAGAACGAACTGGTTCACGGACTCCGCTCTGCACATCCACACATGTAGCATGCATGCGGCGGCGGCGCATGCGGCGGCGGCGCATGCAGCGGCGGCGGATGCAGCGGCGGCGGATGCAGCGGCGGAGCATGCAGTGGCGCATGCAGCGGCGCCACTAACTCCATTTCCTTCCACTGGTAGCTTTTAGGTTTCTGACCAAACGTTGGTGGAAACGAATCGACTGCAGGCATGCATCGTAGATCATCATCTGCACATCTGACACTTGAAGAAATATATTGTACAGAAATATACGTGAATATTTAGCTGAACAAATACCTAATATATATATTTACTTAGAGATTTGCTGTGAGAAAAGAAAAAAAGCATTTTAAGTTGTGAGAAATGACACGCAACTCAAGAGTTAATTTCCTTTAGCATGAACAAAGTTTAACAGGCAGCCATGTAGATTTTAGCCGAGGTTATTGAGAGGCGGTGATGTTTGTAAAGCTTTACTTCAAGAAAAGGATTGAAAAGATTAGGAGTTGCAGTGGGATTAGGAGATCAGCGCTGCGAGCTTTAATCTAAACCCGAGTAGCTTATCTGAACAGAAACAAACACAAAATAGATTAACTGTTTTAAAATAAAGTTTTAAAATCTACCTAGCAACACCTGTAAAGCTCACACATTGATAAGGTTTACATTTTCTCCCAAATTCAGTGATAAATCACCTTTTACTTTATGGTAAAATATTGTTTTAAGCATTAAAACTGTAAAACTGCATTATAAAACCTTTAATGAACAATAAGGAGGCTGAGCTGACTGATGCTGTGATTACACCATTACTGTGATTTTATTTACAAACCACCGTTACATACAGACGTAAAAAAAAAACAACAAAAAAACAGGTTTGCATTTAATAAAAAGTTAAATATTTATAAATCTTACCCAGTAATTTGAATCATTACCATTTTTAAAACTTTATTTTTATTCCATTTCTGCTGGGCATTTAAATTTATTTATTAGTTGCATTAAAAAATATATAGGATGGCAAATATGTAAAAGGTTTACTTAGTTAAAAATAAATATATTTGAAAATGAAACGGGTAGGTGAAATGATTTGATGTAAAACTTAGTCATTACATGTTAAATTCACATCAAATAATTTATTCTATTGTTTACTGATTCTTGTGCTGAAGTGCAACATGAATATTCACCAGTTAACAAAATAAAAGGATATTAAGGGGAAAAAATAATAAAAATAAAGCAAAACCCATAAATGTACAAACTGTTACTTGATACTGAGAACATTTTATCTTATGCTTGTAAAAATGTGGTGGAACTATTACATTTATTGTAGTTTAAAATAAATATTTTATTTGACAAATTGAAATAATTAGATTTGATTAAATCTGTTTTCTCATATTTTAATAAACGTGTAAATGAGAAATATGTGCAGTTTAAAACCTCACCAGCAGGTGGCAGCACTCGGCTCAGTTCTCAGAAATTCAGTTATTTAAAAAAAAAAATTTAGTTTTTTTTCCAGTTTATCCATTTGGAAACTGTGGAAGCTGACAGCGGTTGACCCTGCTGTAATTATTAAACTCAAAAATATAATTTTAGCCTTTCATTGTGTCGTTGGCACATTTTTAATGGGAAGTGGAGACATTTCTGAGTTCATATTAAAACATTTAGAGTTCATCCGTTTCTGAGCGATACTTCCATCTCTTGCCACTGAATAATATGTAGAAAGTTTAATAAATCTGAAGTATTTCAAACCTGATGAAAAAGACAAAAATAACAGATTTCTAAACTAAATAATTAGCTAATAAGTGAAAATTATTTTATTTTTCCCCATATTGCAAGAAAATCACAGGATGGATTTAATTTTCGCTTGCTCTCTTACTTTGAAATGTAGTCAGATTTCTAAAGTTTAGGAATTTTTTATTCAGAGATTTTAAGCTTTCGTTTAACTCTAAAATAAGTAAAAATATCTCTTAAAATTGAATGATATTTTATGGTTTTACAGATTAAATGAATTTAGTAAAAAATAAAATAGCCGCCACATTTTTTAAGTTTACTTTTTTTTTCACCAAAACATGCTTTTGTGTGAGCTTTACAGGAATTTATCTTCTGATCCATCTTTAAACATGAAATGTTCCTTTAATGAAGGCTAAGCGCTTCCTTTGTCTGTGGTTGCACTGTAAGGTGGAGGCGGGTTGTGCTGCGGGACGGTTAAATCAAATTGATTTGAGAAGGGAGGGTTACATCAAATCAATGTTTGTAAGAGTAAATTATGAATGTAAGACGGTGTGAAGCATCGGTGCGGTTTGTTTTCTCTGTACAGTAAACGCATCAACATTAATCTGTAGGTTTTATTAGAAATGCTGTTTCCATGTCTACCAGTCGGGTCGTTACAGAGCTTGTTACCGCGCTCTCGGATCCAAACCAGATCTCCCTGGGTAGAAATGTTTACCAAAGGTTGATCAACACTCACTTCCTTCCGGGGACGTCCAGGGGGCGCCAGTGAGTCGGATCCTTCTCTAAAACAACAACCCAAAGCAGAGAGCTAATTCACATGTCGGTTTTTGTTCTTGAAGGTTCTAATTTATTAGTTTAAGCGGTTCTGAGTGTTTTCCTCTGAGATTATCGGGACCAGGTGTAAATGTTCTGTAACTGCTGCTGTTTCCAGACACTGAAGCAAAATCTGCAACACGATTATTTACATTTTTACACATTTTAAGCTAATTTTTACGGAATCTGCAGAGAGCCTCTGGGATACTTAAAGGGAAAGGTCAGGATTTTATTTCTATTTTATTGCAGAAGTTTGGTAAAAAATCTCCAAAACCATATAAATATTTTGTTTTAATAGTAAAAATGTGAATCTGAATGTAGCAGTAGATTCCATTTTTATTTGGCAAAATACAAAATATTTTTCAGATTTTGCAGGTGAAATGTACAGAAAACATGACAGTCCTTCACTTCAGCAGCTCAACACTTTCTAGTAACTTTTTTAGCAAGATGTCAGAGCTTGTTTTCAGTCAATAATTCCTTCATATTGATGAAGAAAGTAATTTACTTATAAAAAGTAAATTTTTGCCATGTTATAAGTAAATAATTTGCAGGTGGACCTAGAACTTTTTCATCAATATTATAGGAATTATTGACTCAAAACAATAATAAAGCTCCGTTATCTTATTAAAAAGTTGGTTTTGTCTCATTCCAAGTGTAAGAAGTTATTTTGCACTAGAAACTAAACCAAAATTATTTGGCAAGATTTTGAGTTTCTGCAGTGTGTGGCCAAATTGTCAAAAAAAAAGCCCTAAATTGACAGTGACAGATTCTGACAGCCACAAGACAAAATCAAGTTAAAAAAAATTATTTAATTCCAGCAGCTCTCTCAAGGTTTCATTTTTTATTTTTTCAACCTAATTTATGAACATAACGGTCGTGCAGACATAAATGTAAAGACCTGAAAGCACAAAGCTGTTGCGACCCAAACGTTTCGGTTCTGAACTTTATGCTGCTGGTTTGTTTTGGTTGATCGGTTGCAGAAATGACGACGTTTAGCCTTTCGGATCAAATCTTTATCTTCTACTGAAGGAACCGAGCAACGCAAATGTGTAAAGTGAACACTGATGTTTTAGAGATGACATGAAGCAGTTTACTGTAAGAAATGAATAAATTTGTTTCTTTAAAGCAAACGTCTACTTTATTGTGACCTTAAAGACGACAAATCACAAAAATAAAGCTTGACAGTTCATTTTTATTGATCTGCATGATGTGCCACAAAGATTCATATTTAGGAACTGGACGTCGTTTCGCAACCAAACATTTAATGGCTTTTCGGTTCTTCACTGAAATAAAGAAAAGGTCCTGTCTCAACATGACCTGGATCCGAATGGAAAACAGTGCAGGTTGCAAACAAATACAAAATAAAGTCAAAATGCAAAGAAAAATAGATATTATAGGTTTTAATTAAAGTGCATGTTGGTTTTAAATCCACTTTGTATTAAAACGTTTATGATAATGTCAGTTTTTAAGCATTTATTTAAGATAACAGTGACCCCTGCTGGTCAAATGTACAGGATCCCTCTTTAAGTTGTTTTGATATCAAATCCAAACCATCATTGATTTGAAAAATAATAGAAGAAAATAAAAACGCAAAATGAGCTGGCGGAAAAAGGAGGGAACCGTTTCCAGTTCCAGTGTTGATGCAACACAGTAAAAACTCTGTTTTCTCTCTGAAACATTTGATGTTTAGTTTTTGATTAAATGTTAATTTAAGTGATCGATAAGTCGTTGAATTTGTACGAAATCAATATAAAACAGTGCAGTGATGAGTTTTATGGCTCTACTTTTTCAGTGCAGGTTTTAAAGCTTCCAGTTCGGTTCTGTGGAGCATTTATGAGCAGTTAGTATCTTCCTTAAATCTTGACATCTTCATTTAAACCAAAAGAACAATAGATTTGCCCTAGAGGTGTCCAAAGGGTGGCGCGGGGGCCTTTTGTGGCCCTTTGAAGGATTCTGTGCGGCCCCTGACCTCATTGCAACCATCGGAGGTTGATGGAGAGAAACATGTTTTACAGATAACTAAACTCTTATTAAAGAAAAAGACGTACAAAAAAAACAGATCATACATTTATAATGATGTTTCTACAAACGCAAAAAAAAGAAAATAATCAACTGTATGCCTGTCTTATAATGTCATTGTGCAAAACTGTTTTCATGAACCAGACATTTCCAAAGTTTCTCTTTGGTTCATCTTCTTTCGCCACTACAGACTCTGACGCCGCCCCTGCTGTTGACGTAACCAAGACTGACCTTCCAACTTCCTGGTCAAAGTGCCGCTAATTTCCTAAGGAGATTCCGTCGTTTGCTTCAGGCCTCCAAAAAATCTCAAATCTGAAAAATGGCAGAGATCAGCAGCCGCAGTGACCAAATTCAGTGTCACTCTGGAGCAGAACGAGAAAAACATTTAGCAGAAAAGGTAACCAGCTTCAGCGAGCCTATGCAGAAACAAACTGGATCAGGAAGGAAACAAGAGTCTGCACTATGCAAAATAAAAAATAAATAAAAAAAAAGGCCATCATGACTCAGTTTCTGCAGGTCTGGTTAAAGGAGAACCAAATTATACCACATAAAATACAATTCTGCCAAATACCAAGGAAAGGTAGGTTTCTGTCTCATAACCTCTCACCACTGATTATCTGAACTGATCCTATAAGAAATAATTTGGCTCAGAAAACAGATTTCCAATCAAACCTTCAGATCCTGATTGAAATATAAACATGCTAACAGAATCAATTTGGATTCAATAAAACCAGAGATGGGTAGTAAATGCTTACATTTACCCGGCTACATTCACTTGAGTACTTCCAGGAGTACTTTTACTATCCTGTACTTTTTACTGTTACTTAAGTAATTTCTTGGTCGGCTATTTTTTTACTTCAGTAAAAATATGTTACAGTGATGCTACTCTAAGTTGAGTAAGATTTTTGGGTACACTACCCACCTCTGGTTAAATCGACCGCTAGTCACACAGCTGGTAACTGAAAAGAAAAATGAATGAATGAATTTATGAACCTTGGCTAACTCCATTAGTGCCATTTCTATCTTTACATCTAGGATCCAGATTTCGCCTTCATCGTTCAATCCCATTTATGCTCCAGATATGAACAAACAGCTAATAGAAAAGAAGGAAGGTTCTGTCCACTTTGTTATGGATTTAAACCCACCAGGGTTTCTTTCAGTGGCCAAACCTTTTAGCAGCAATACTCCTCAGACCCAATAGGGGAACTTCTAGGTAACTACAGCATTGAACGGCACTCTAGTTTCGTCCGCTTCATTGTCCACAACGGTCGTCAGGTCAGACCGGTTGGGATAGAAAATGAAGCGGAGCAGCGCCAGCCCAACGCGCACCAGGAGCCTCAGCACAAGAAAGGCGAAAGGCACCGTGATCTCCATCAGGTGGAAGATGGAGGTGCTGAATTTACTCAGGATGCAGGACAGGAAAAACGTCCCCAAAGCGACACAGGGGTACAGAGCTAGCTTAGCGAGCATGAACACGTGCTCCCGTCCGCCGTACCAGACGTAGGGGTGCAAGGTTTCCTGCTCGTTGTAGAGCGCCACCACCCAGATGGAGAGTTGGAATATCCCGGCGAAGAAAACGATCACACAGCTGATCTGAATGGCTTCCAGTTCGTTCTGGGAGTTGCGCGGGAACTCGTGCGTCAGCTGGTAGGCTAACGGCAAACCGCCAACAAACGCCAGAGAGAAAGTGTTCAGCAGGCCCATGAAGCGCGTGGCCTTGGTGACGTGGAGGAAGAGGGAATGGTGGACGAACCAGAGGAGGCCGACGGTGGCAAAGGAGCCAAAGTAGGCGAGAAACTCCGGGCCGTAGGCCTGCAGGGCGGCGATCAGGCTCCCGCCAAACTGCTTCTGCACCACCGCTGGGTCCGGAACGTTGTCCTCACTGAAACATGGAGCCAAATAAACACTACTTTGTCATACCACTAAACAGAACATCATTAAAGTCACAAATTCCAGTAAAGATCAAGTATGTGACTTTTTTTAATAAACATTTTTGTTAAAATCTGTGGAAGGAAAAAAAAAGAAATCAATCTACTCCACTGTCTTAAGAAATGAATCAAAACCAACTAATCAGAGCAAGGAGGCGGGTCATAGTGCTGTCAATTATCCTCAAGAACAAGAGCACATTACTAAATGTGCTAATGGCGGAAAAACAGCTCACCGGTACAGAAAAACTGCTTATCAGCGGTGGCTATGCTAACTAGCCTTAGCATTCACAACATGCTCTGCTAGCTCCAGAGTTTTCTTAGATGAAAACTTTTTAATCTACTTTGAATATTTAATTGTGCATCGTGTACCATACTGTTTGATAACTAGGACTAACTGGAGAGCATGCAATGAAAACGAGACACTTGTAATGAATTTTGTCTACATAAATAAACTGAATTGTATTGGATATATGAGGATCAACAGCACTAAGACCCGCCTCCTCACAGCTAAAACTCTAAATCTTAAAGTAATTTTTCAGAGCAAATATTTAAGTACCCTTGAGATAAGACAAATTAACTTACAAATAACTTTCCAGCAAGATATAACAGCTTGTTAAGGTTAATAATTCCTTAATATTGATATTTAAAAACCTACTAGCAGATTATTTCATTTAGAACATTTTTTCCATTTTAGTAAAATAATCTGCCAGTAATATTTCACAAATATAAAGAATTATTGACTATTTCTAGCTAAAAAGTTACTTGTAAGTTATTACATTTGAAATGAGACAATAGTAAGAAACTAGACCAAAAATCATTGATTTGATTTTTTGCAGTGTATATAAGAGTTCAGACTCTGAAAAACCAGAAGGGCTCAATTTTTATTGTTATTTTTTTTATGGATTATTTGCCTCAAGCATCTGACAAAATAGTGATTGTTTCAACAAATATGTAAAACATACTGTTTAGCCTCAGAGCATACCATATGTCTAAGATGAGAAGCGTTGCTACGATGGCGTAAACGCCGTCGCTGAAAGCCTCGACTCGCTCCTTGCTGAGCGGCTCGTTGGGAAGGTACGTGTAAAACAACATGGAGTCCGGCGTTTCCTCCACCTGACCTGAAGCAGAGGAGACTCATAAGAGGGAGGAAGGAAGCGCCATCAGAGCGGCGGTGGCCTGTTCCTACCGATCGCTTTGCTGCGGCACCATTTCAGGCTCTGGGAGATGTAAGGCAGGAAGATGATGATGGCGAGGAGAACATAAGACTGGAAGACATCAGGACAGGGCTATTAAACATGGCAGAAATTATAACGACCTCAACAACCTATTAAAAGGTGGTGAAACATGGGAGGCTTACAGAACTACGGAAACCCATTCCTGGCAAAAATAAAAGCCACACAGGAAGTCAGAATGACTTTTTCTGAGTTTAAAAGCCCAAATTTTGAGAAACAAAGCCGTATCTTTAACTTTCAAAATCATAATTATGAATTAAAAATCAGGAATATCAGATACAAAGTTCTAATTTTGGATTTCAGAGTCATTTTGAGAATGAAGCAATAATAATAACTTCCTTAGAGTTATTTTGTGAAGAGGTGAATCATGACTTTCATTCTCAAAATTATTTGTTCCATTGTCATAATTATGACTTTATTCTTTAAATTGACTTTAAAACTTGAATTTATTACTTTAAACTCAAAATTGAGTTTTATCAATAATAATGACTTTTATTGCCAAAAATTCATGTTTTTAACCTTAAAATTATAATTTCTTCTCGAAATCGACTTTAAAACTCATAATTGTGACTTTCATTCTTGACATTATGACTACAGAACTTAAAATAAAGACTTTAAAAGTCAAACTTTAATTCTAAAATTAGAATTCTTCAAATTGTGATTTTAAAACTTGAGATAATGACTTTTATTCTTGACATTATCACTAAAACAAAATAAAAACTTTAAAATTTAAAATTATGACCTATTCTCAAAATTTACTTTTATTCGCGTAGCTAAAACTTGTAAGTGCGACTTTTATTCTTGATATTATGACTAAGACTTGAAATCATTACTTTAATTCCTGAAAGAATGACATTAAAACTCAAAATTCTGAATTTTAAATGTGGAAGCTGCCGTCTGTAACTTTGTCAGAAAGGTTTAAAAAAAACGCTGATCGGATCCAGTCATGGATGTTTAAAAATATTTTTTTCTACTAGATTTCCTGGGAATCAAATTAAAAACCTTCAGATGAGAAAATCGTCTGATTATTTATGATCAGGAGAAACAAGCGGCGTTTTACACCTACACTTATCCACGGCAAGTCGGCAAATGCCTTGAAAAACAAAAAAACTTCTGAACTACCCACCGTCTTTTTTTACTTGCATGTGAAAACAGTTTAAGGGGGACAGATTTGGTGCTGACCAGCTGGAAGAAGATGAAGGAGAAGATGCTGGCGAAAAAGCACATGATGGGAATCCTCATGATGACCTTGAGGATGTGATGTTTATAGTAGGTCAGGTTCTCTGAGATCTGGATCTGGTCGTTCAGCAGGAAGGGCCGGCTGAAGGCGTACAGCACAATCACCGACTGGAAAACGCAGAAATTGGGTCAGGATGTGAAGAGTTGGTGAACACACGGTGCAAATGGACCGATTTCTGCGCCCTCTGAAGTGTGGACTCAGACAAAGCGAACATTCGGGTTTGAGTGTGCAGGTTAAAAAAATGTGACAGGATAGGTCACAGTGTCAGCATTTATGCTGCTAAAAGTACAACTAAATAAATAAATAAGTTTTATATGTACAGGAAAGATGTTTTTTTTTTCAAAGTCACATGAAAAGTCACATCCACACATGAAACCAAAACTACTTCAATACTTTAGATTTGAAAACAGATTTGTTTTTGTGAACTTTGCCATATTTTCTAGATTAAGACTGTAAGAATTGGGACCGGGCCGATAAAGGACGAGGAAACGCTTCAGCTTCCTCACCTGGATCATCCCGATCACCATCACACAACCACAGAAGAGTAAAATCCCCAGGACGTTCTCAGGAAAGGTCGCCATTAAAGAAAACTGCAAAGCAGAAGGAAAATTAATCTATTTAGTCAAACGTAAACGCATTCAGAACCAGCCTGGTACTCACAGTGTACGGCAGGAAGGTTATCAGCATCATGCAGGCCTGAGTTACAACAGAAAGAAAAACAAAACAAGAGAAAAGTGAAACTTAGAGAAAGTCTGGTAGAAAAACGTCAACAAACCTGAGGCTCTACTCACAAGGTTAAGCAGAGCGAGGCAATCGTCAATGTGAACAATGACCTGGAATAACCTGCGGAAATTAAAGACCAAATAAGGAAACCTGGTAAAAAAAATCTAAGTAAAAAAAGAAACGTGAACAGAGAAAGTAAATACCTGATATGAGCGGCCCAGGCAACCGTCACGATCAGGAAGGTCATCAGGTAAACGGCGATCTTCGTCGCTAGCAGCAGCTGAACGCTCTCCCTCAACTCCTGCACAAGCCAATCAATCAATATTATTTATAGAGAACTTTTCAGACAGAAACGTGTAACAAACATGATTTAAACGTACAATAAAGATCATTCAAGTTGATAATAATAAGGTTTACCTCGTTATCTTCCACTTTGGTGTGAGCGACTGGCAATATCTGCACATAAGAGTCAGGATTAGAAGATTTATCCTTCAGATATAAAACTGAATAATAATTAAAGTAACTGAAATAATTGGTAATAATAAATACGACTTTATTATGAATAAATACTAAGGCAACAAAGTAGTAACTTTATGAGAAAGCAGTCTTCTCATTGTGCTAAAATGAGGAATATTTGTCATCTAGTAAAGTTATATTTTGGTATCAGTTTTACAAATAAATAATTATGTAATCATTGAACACGTCAGCATCAAATTACTATCAGCAGCAGAACTGAAACAATTGTTCAAACTCTTTCTGTTTGTAATAAAGAACCACAGTGACTTTCCCAGCTGATCACATTAGATCTTGATGACAATCAAAGCTTAGAATAACTTTATTCTGGTAACATTCGCAAATTATTTCATAATATGCTGAACTAAAAAAAATAAATGAACAAAATAAACATTATTTTCTATCATTGCTGAATTAAATACTGACTGAATAAATTGTTTCTGACCATTTCTCTTTCCTGTTATGGTATGGTTCCGCCATCTTTGTTTCTGTATCAACAGCTCCATGCAGCTCCCTCTGGTGGAAGGAGGCCAAACTACACCACCAAATTTTTTGTCACCTATGCTTGTCTGTTTGGTTTTGGAAGAGTCCCTCAGAGAAACTGGGCATCTGTGTCGCACATATTTACACCAAAATGTAGATTATTGATTATCAGCTAAAATAAATTCTGATTATTTTAAAATAGAGAATAAATTACCTCTTCTTTTTTTTTATTAACCATCAATAAAAGGGGCTTAATTAAGTCTAGTTAATCCAGTGGTGATCAAACTTTTTGCCATGACAGTTAAACCGTTAAGCTGGTTGCACTTTCGGGCCATACAATGTATTTTAAACAAATACTTTATGACTTTAAAAATTGTTTATCTGCATAATAATAACAATATTAATAATCTAAATTTACATTTAACTCATTGTAGACAGAAAACGTAAAAAAGGTTTTGCACAGTTTCGTTGACATAAGACAGGCACCAAGTTTGTAACTTTTGGGGGGTTGATTATTTCTTTTATTGTGTTTTATCTGTTTTTTGTACCTCTTCTTTTTCTAGGAATGTTCTCTGTAAAAAATGTTGCTCGACAGAATAAACCTCCTGTGTTTGCATTGAGAGGGTCGCAATGACGCGGAGTCTGTTTCTCACCATGACTGTGGCGATGATGGAGATGAGGGCATCGCTGTAGGCCAGAAGTCTGTGGGAGGACTGCGTGCTGCTGTGGCCCTCTCTCTCGGACGGACTCAGGCTGTCCAGCAGCGGGGAGGACAAGCCGCGGATCCGGGCTGCTTTCTTCTCCATCTCCTCCTCGACGTGGTGCTCGATAATGTCGCTGTCGTCGTTCTCACCCATCCTGGACGGAGCTGCGGGACCGCGGAGGACCGGCGGATGCTGGCAAACAGGAGGAACAGCTGACTGTGGGCGGACCGGGGAACCAGGAAGTAGAGGAGCGGATGTTTCCGGTCCCCTTCGGAGATCGTTCATTCAACAAGAGGAGTCACTCTGCTGGCGAAATTGGTAATTTTGCTGTTTCAGTTCTTCCGGGTTTTTCTTTCTTTTCTTTTTTTTTTTTAATTAAGGTTTATTTTTTTTATCTGGGTTTCTCTGGTTGATTCAAATTGAATCAAATGGTATATTTTAATCTGGTTTTCAAATATGTGGCCAGAAAAGTGAAACAAATCTTTGTTATTCCATTATTATTATTATTATTATTATTATTATTATTATTATTATTATTATTATTATTATTATTATTATTATTATTATTATTATTATTATTATTATTATTATTTACTTATTTTTATAGAGCGATTGTATGTGAAACTATTTCGCCTGAAGGGGGCGACATCATGCCATAGTGTCACACCAGACTCATTCATGAAAGAACAACAACAATAATAAAAATACATCATTATTATTACTACCACCAGCACCATCACTTTTCACAGCACATGTGTCAAACTCACGGCCCGCTCAGCAAAAACACAAAATTGTACAAGTTTCTTTTTGGTCTAATTTTTTGTGCAAATAACTAACTTACAGAAACCTTTGAGCAAGCTATAGTAATTTGTTTTAAGTCAAAAATAATCCCACTGGTAGATTATTTCACTTATGATAAACTGTAACAGAAAGTGTTTATTGCTAAATCTATTAGATTTAAATAGATTGTTGCTAAAGCTTGTTCTTGTGGATGTGCTTTCCTGCTTCCAGAAATCCTGTTTTATTAAACTTATGCTCACAGAAACAGAGCTGAAACCTCTAAATAATTATAAAATAATAAAATTGTCATTATTTTTTATTAGATTTCTCTCAAACTACGTTTGGCTCTTTTGTCGTCAGATCCAATCTTCCTCCCTGAAACTTAATTAAGCTAATTTGTGCCAGTTTTTCATGCTAATATAACACAATCTGTTCATCCATCAATGCAAAAATGCAACTTTTTTTAAATCAAGATGTTAGAATTTTTAAAAAATCAAAATATATAAAACTGAGTTCACTGAACCGAGTTGTCAGATGTAACTAGTGTAATCCTAAAAAACATGTAGACTCCCAAACAAGAAAAGAACAAATAATTCTGCTGTTCATGAAACAAAACTTACTAATTAAAAACTGTTTCATAGCAAATCCTTCTCCTACATTTTTCTCATAGGAGTTGTTTTCAACCAGCTACAATGAAATAAGAAGCAAGAAGAAATATGTCAACAATGGTTTTTCCGTTTGACTGAACAGCAGCCAGAGGGACGTGTCACAGCAAAGACCCCTGGGTAATAAGGTTTGGATGTTATGGCTCATTAATTTCTCTACTTCCTTTTGAATGTCTGAAAAAACAAAACTGTGGATCTTCTGGCTGATTTCCAAAATCTGATGGGCTAGAAAACTGCAGCTTCACTTATAAAGCCTGATTTTAACATCATGGTCATTCAGTTTAAATCACTCCACTACTTTACAAAGATCTGCATCTCAAAACTGTATGTCATTTTCCATAAAAACCAAATGAAAATGTATTGAATCTAAAAGAAAGAAATAAGTAATGTCATTGTTTTTTCTACAAACTTTATGAGATTAAACTCAAACTTTCTGACTTTTTTCTCACAAACTTTCAAATTTTGGAGCTCAGAAATTTCCTTGATTATCTAGAAATTTTCAGAGATGAATCTGAGTTTTTGGTGAAAGTTTACTCATTTTATATATGGGAAAAATATATATATATGTATATATATATGTATGTATATATATATATATATATATATATTCAATGTCTTGGAAACACTGTCATATTTTTATCAATATTATGGAATTAGTTACTAAAAAACAGCTCCAAATACCTTGTGGAAAACTCACTTACAAGGTAGTTCTGTATTATTTCAAGTGTACTAAGATATTTGCACTGAATCTAGCCCAAAATGGATTGGTAAGACTTTATGTTTTTGCAGTGCGTCTGGATAGAAGATGGTGATGGTAATGGTGAATGTAGTGGGCTGATGTTCCTCTGGTCAATATGATGAACTCGGCGCGAGTCTGATCAAAGGAAAGCAAGGCTTTCTCATCTCATCTCAGCGCAATCATGCTTGTCCTCTTCCTCCGCCTCTCCTCATCCTCTTCCACCCTCATCTTAGACTGAAACATGTTGACACAGAACACGCCAGGTGTAATGGGATTGACCTCTGTTGCCTGTGCTGCCAGATTGCAGACAGACGCATCAATAACATCTGGGCTGCTGCAGCTGTAAACTGTAAACTCAGCAGACTGAAAATGAAGGTGGGCGGAGCCTCAACTGGCTCTGCTGTCTTTTTCTCAGTTAGGTGGAAAAACTGTAAATCAGAGGCGTCCATGTTTTTTAAAGCTACTGACAGGTCACAAAATTAATTAATAAGACAAAACTAACTTTGAAGTAACTTCTCAAAAAGATATAGAAGCTGGATTTAAACAAAATAATTCTAAAAAGTGATATTTCCACAAGCAGATTATTTCACTTTTAACATGGGAAAATGTCTTATTATAAAGTAAATAATCTACTCCTGAAATTGATAGTTTATTATCAATTTTAAGGGATTATTAACCAGCCCCTGTATCATACCTAACAGTTCTCATAAGTTAGTTTTGTTTTATTCCAACTGTAGCTTTAGAAACTAGACAAAAATGCTTGGCAAGATATTTTGCAGTGTGGGGACCACAAATGGCCCCCGGGCCACAGTTTGGACACCCCTTGCTGCAGCTATGGGTGGACTCATTGAAGTATTTCAGGATTGGACTCATGTATTCTCATTGTCTTCCTGCACATGCTGCACCCAGATGTATTTATTGATGGTATATAAATTTTCTAAACTCCTATCTGAGCTGTTCTTGAGAGAGACAGTGAAGCCTTCTTCAGGTAAATGAAGTGAGGGGCTTCAGTGGCATCTGACAGGAGTTATTACCCCGCGGTGATGACTTGCAAATCCAGACAGGAAGGCTGTGAAGCCCGACTCTTCTGCTGTCACGTCTGATTAAGGCAGCAGCTCTCATGTCTGCAGGACAGAGCTGGGTTGTCTGGGGACAACAATATCACGGGGTCTGGAGTGACACCATTATGGGGTGAGGAGCAATCTCTGAGGGGGTCAGAGGTCAGGAGGATGCAGACATGCAACCGCAGCGAGTGATGAGATGACACTGGGGTTTGGCAACAGATGGATCCCCAAGAGAAACTGTTTTACAGGGAACGTCAAAGAGTTTCTGCATTTAAAGCGACACAAATGAAAATAGATTAACAAAAAAAAACCAACTAAATTTATGATATTTTGTAATCAGATCTATAATGTTAAAATGCTCTGTTGTGTTTACAAGACTATCAACGAGATGCACATGGAGACACAGCTAAATGAAGTGCAGAGGGATTTCTCACAGTTCTGTTGTGTGGCAGCAGGACGTTGTTGCTAAAATAAACCTGATTTAATCTGCAGCTAAGATTTTAACCGATAATCCACAATCTACTGCATCAGCGTTACGCAACAGCCTGCCCACTGCAGCTTCGTTTACAGAAAAAATATTACAAATAGGAAGCTATTCCACACCTTGCTTCAAGTTTATGTTGTGTGGAATCAACTGATGTGTTTAATTTAACAAACTATTTTGTGCTTTTTTTATTCTACAAAAGAGGATAAAGGAATGTTTTGTTTGATGTAAACATGAAAATCTTAAATATGTCCTTTAGTTTTACAAAAATATTTAAGTTCACTTAAGCTATTTTCATACAGAAAGACCATAAATTATCATGGGGATGTTGGATTTTTATCTAAATCACTGATACTTACGGCAGCAACTATTCAGTAGAAAAATCCAAAGAAATCTGCTACCATCTGATTACTGAGAATCGCTGAAAAAGTGACGTTATCCAAAGATAATTCTGCATTTTTATCAGAAAAATGGGTGAAACTTTGGAGAAACAGTTTTTCTGTAATGTTGAGTTGTTTCTCCGCCATTAGCAAATTTATCAGTGTGTACACGAGGTTGATTGACAGCGCTAATACCAGCCTCCTGTCTCTGAGTTGTTGTTTTTGGTCAAGAGAGTTGCTTTTCTTCAGTTGGCAGGAGTAGCTCAGAGAGGAGGAAGAGGAGGTTGATCTTTTCATATCTCATAACAAGCTATCACAACACAGTGACAGTTTTAATTCAATTAAATTCAGTTTATTGACATAGCAACACAATTTCACTGCAAAAGGAATTGCAAAAAGTACTTTTAAACACTAAAAACATAATTGTAGTCGTATTTTGCACAAAAGAATCCAGTTTGTGTGTTGAATAAGTCACAGATCCAGCAGAAGGTTGAAAACAGCCGTGACTCATGACTCTGCTCTTTTAAGGAGACATGACCCAATTTTTAACCCTCCTGTCCCTCAAGTTACCAGTTTTACAGATCTTGAGGATTTTCTTCCTGAATATCCCCATGGCTGTGTCTTAACCCAGATATTTAGGTTTTTCTCTCCTAGATTTGGCATTTTACACCGTCTGACAGGGAAATCCTGCCTAATGCCCTCCGCTGATAACATCCTGAGTGCTTATCGTTGTCCTTTCTGCGGCCTGTTCACCAGCTGGCCCTTGACATCCAGATTATCACATCTTATCCATCCCGGACATTGGAGGGCTGTGGCTTACCTTCAGTTAATGAGGCCTGCAGCTCAGACCATCATACTGAACTGGCCAGTCGAGTTAAGATTACAGAGCAATTACACGCGTGGAATGGGAGGCAACATCAACTTGACCTACTTTATTCAGTTAGAGCTGCTCTGGCTCAAAAGGTAAGTTACTTTCTGTAATAATTTAGGCTAAAAAGCAAGGCTTTAATTGTGTATGTATATAAATATATATATATATATATATAGAAGCTCTGAAACTTGAAAGCTGCAGCTCTGAGGAGGAGCTGCTTCTCGAAGGCGGAGCTAAGTCCACTCATGTGTTTTGCACTGCTGAAGGGTTGCCATGGCCTGCAACACTGCAGGTCTGTTTTTGACGAGGAAATAACATCATAACAAAATGTAAAGCTCACAAAAGCAGATTTTACATAATAATGCACCTTTAAATATTCTAAAACAATTTTTGGGAAGATAAAAGAATGAACCTGTGACTGCAGGATGATAATTCTGGGTTTGACATTTCTTCTTTGATAGAGTCCGACTGCGAGGAGAGGCCACAGGAGGGTCTGCCTTTCAAATGGAAATCCTGCTCTGATGCATTCGCAGCACAAAGGAG